CCTCATCTGTAAGCAATTAATATGACCTAAAAACGCTACAGATGTAATTACTCAGGAATTTTCTCACTCACATGTGTGGTATGTGTCCTTATTTTAAGTTCTGCTTTGTAGCACTGACAAATGACCACAACAGGCCCAACTATGTCACACGTCCTAACAACAAGTTCAGAGACCACTGCTGTATACTGTATGTGTGAGGAACAGATACATGAGGTGCTTTTTTTTTGCAGGGGTCAAAAGCACCTAATGCCATATGGGCAGGTCACCTTGAATTATGTTCTGTGTTTTAGCCCCCAAACGTGGAAATTTTGTAGGGACCCATTGCTGTAGTTCTTGAAGCTTTTTAGCCATGTTTACGGACTGAAAAGGCGCAGCTTTTTAGCCCCCTAAACTTTGTTTTTTAGCAACCCCTAACTGTTTTTCTAGTAGCCTTTTAGCACTGTAACGTGGGTGTTTTCAGCGACCTGTTTCTTTGTGTGGGGATAGCAGCACGAAAAAGTGTTTTTTATCGAGATATTTACCGCTTTTCCAACAGGGATTGTGCACTTGAAACTAGGGAGCTTTAAGCTACGGCACAATCTATTCCTAACCATAACTAAGTGGTTTTTTGTGCCTTAATCTCACTACATCTTAACCACAGCCTTGTTGAAATGTAACTTTTCAACATATCTGCTACATAATAACGTGCAAATGTTCTGTATCCGAACGTTGAAATGTGGTGGAACAAAAGTGATTGTGTCGACTGATAGCAGCAGATCTTGTGGCTAAATCATATTTTTACTTTAATGTGGCCTGCATAAAACCTGTTTACCATAAAATCTCATTACTTGGATCATCTTTGTCCTATTTATGAAACCCCATAGGAGATCTGATAATGCTGCCCATTTGACCCACTTTCTGAAGCCACAGTTCAATCTGAGGGAAATACACAGATAAACTTTATCTACATCATATGAGCTGCATACATGAATACATAAGGGACCTGTAAACTGTATGAACAAGTTTTAAAAGTAAAGTACTCATGTTGTTGTACATTATAGTATACTGACAGATTAATGTGTAAGCAGCATGTTAATATTCTAGATGCTCAAGGTGGAGATTTCACATACTGTTGAGTTGTGTCATGTAGGCTATATATGAAGGATATATATAATAAGATAACCATTCTTTTTCTGTAACCGCCTATCTTGTTATGGGTTGAGGGGGCTGGAGCCTATCCCAGCTGACATTGGGTGTGATACTCCCTGGACAGGTCACCAGACTATCACAGGGCTGACACATAGAGACAGACAACCATTCACACTCACATTCACACCTACGGTCAATTTAGAGTCACCAGTTAACCTGCATGTCTTTGGACTATGGGAGGAAGCTGGAGTACCTGGAGGAAACCCATGTTGACACGGAGAACATGCAAACTCCCCACAGAAGGGCTCCTCCATCCTGGGTTCGAACCAGGGGCATTGTGAGGCGACAGTGCTACCCACTGCACCATCGTGCCGCTTAGTTTTGTATGTAAAGTATTATTCTGCTGAGTAACTAGGGGCAGCCCTACTCATTACGCAATATAAGCAGTTGTTTAGGGCCCTCTGGTCTCTGGGGGCCCACTAAGAGAGGCAATAACAAAATTAGAATTGAATTTCCTAAACAAAAACTAACATTTCATGGCAATTTGACCACTGACAACACACTGTAGATCTTTCAGCCAGTTTGGAATTTATTGTGTCATTATTATCAGAAGGTCCTCATATGAGCACAAATGTACTTTAAACCCTGGTATATAAAAGGTCACTAATAATCAGTTAAAGAACATTTAAAAACATTTGATCAAAATAAGACTAAACCACTTGCCTGTAGTTTTTTAAACCAGAGCAACAATGTAAGTGCCATGGTTTTGGTTCCTATTAAACTGTTTATGTTTTACCTGTTATTAGAAATTGCCCTTTTTTTGGGCAATTTTATGTCAATATTCTATAAAACAGTTCTCCTTTTACTTTTGACTGGTTGCCGTGTGCATTATATCTTTTTGGTTGTGTCATATCTTTTCTACATTCGAACATCTTACGTATGAAGAAAGGTGAAATTCAGCCCTTTACAATCAGACACTGACACTAAAATAAGTATCAAAATTTAACCAGATCAGGCAAAAAAGGCTTTGACAAGGACCATTCATGGGATTAGGGGGTAATAGATAAATTTACTTTAAACAATTACTATAGTCTTTTTCAGTGGTACTCAAATATTGTGTGCCGTGGGATTTTGTGATAACCACACGTTATTATTGCATTATTCAACTGGGCCTGTACAAAAAGTTATGAATTCATTTTTAATTGACTGTATCAGCATGTTGTGCTCACTCATTTCCTAATAAAGATGCAAACTATAGCTAAAATAATTTAATTTAAAAAAAAAAAAACCTTCACGGGGGAGCTATTTGTCACTGTCCGAGCATGGGTATTATTAGTGTGTGAGACATCAGAAGCCCTGATTGGCAGCCAGTGTGAGGGATGATGACATATAAAAGGAGAAAGCCGTGAGTGAGACAATAGATCGCTTTATTGTACGGAGCAACATTACAACAACAACTGTTTATTTTCTGTAGACAGTATCACAAAAGCTGCCCGTCTGATTTTTTTCTTATTTTAATTGTCTTATGTCATGATAAGAGTAATAACACATGTTATAGAGCATGCCAGGGCTGACGTCAAAACCCGGAAGTTTAGCATCGCGCTGGTTCTCGGAAGAGAAAGTGAATGTGATTTTTGCATTGCGTTTTGGATTATGTCAGAAAATAAGCTCTGTGGCTAACACAAGATTATGATACTTAGAGGTTTTGTTCAGAGAGATAATCTTCACATATGAACACCTTTCATACCGCATTTGAAGCTTAAATGCGATCGCCAGAAGTAAAAAGCTAACGTTAGGCTTTAACAGACTACATGACTACTACACGGTCGCATGACTCTTGACGTCACCGCCACTAAGCTTTCAACTGATTTCGGCCGCTTTATTTTAAAAACATTGTATAATGGGGAAATCGGACTGTTTAAGCTAAATAAGAAGCTGTAATGGCGGACTGCCAGCACTCTCGCCTGTTCAGGGGTGATGACATTTAATGTCCCCAACAGAGTTTGTAGTCGTATTGAGCAACTTGTTAGCAACCACCTTTTTTACGAAACGTAAAAGCTTCAAAATTCACAAGTAGGGTGTTTACTGATGTGTTTTATGTCGTTGAACAAAACCTGAAACCCGCTTAAGCTTTTGTTAACCACAGACCTTATTTGAGGCATTTTACCAAAATCCCATTCAAAAAACGTATTGACTTTTAGACGAGAGAACCACAAGTGCTAAAAGCGCTAACAGAGTTCCGGGTTTACCGGCACACTCTATAGAAGCTACTGTGCACAGATATAAATACAGGTGTGCCTTGAGATTTAGGCTTGCCCTTTGGTGTGCCATAGGTGCTAAAAGTTTGAAACCACTGATCTATTTAAAGATTGAGTTGCTGCGAATAATGTCCCACTGCTAATTTGTACATGATGTGCACTTAAACTAATATTTAGAATGTACAAGTTGGTCCAGTGCCTTGTAAAATGGCAACACATTACAATGAGGGAGGCCTCCCAGACGAAATCCTGCTTAGGGCCCTCAAAAGTCTTGGCCTGGCCCTGAGTAACCAGTAAATATAGCTAGCTCTCAAATAAATGTAGTGAAGTAAAAAGTACATTGTATGCTTCTGAAGTGTAAGAGGAATAAAGTGGAAAGTAAAGTAGGCATACAAGGCAAAGGACTCTGTAACATTCCACTTCTAGTTTTGTATCTATTCTTTAACAGTCCCAGTTGTATGGCTCCACTGTTCTGGCTTATACTGTATCAGAGCTTGACATAATCATCTTATGCATGGATTGGTCATAGTTTATACGCTTACACCATAAACAGGTCATGCAGGGTCATGTGCAGCAGCTTCCTGGGCTGCAGATCAGTGGACACACACACTTGTGAGCAACAGCACTAAACGCACACACAACCAGAAGAAGAACACGCACGAACATAGAGCAGATTAAAGGAGTACTTCACCCACAAAATGGACATTTATGTATCAGTAGGTTGTGCTGTGTGTCCTTGAATTGGTTAGGAAAACTTTTCTTGCATGCCTTCAAACTTTACCACTCATCTATGCTGTCCCCACAGTGAGACTCCAATATTAGGTGTTTTAAGTGAACATGCATGTGTTTGGGAAGCACTGATGAGCAAATAAATGAGACTTGGATTATAAGCATGGGTTGTGTGAGAGTTTTTGAAAGAGATGTTTTTATATATTTTTGCTGCTGTTAAAGGTGGACCCCAATCAATCAATAAACAATCAATCAATAAACAATCAATATGTCCACCATATTCAGTGGAGGCATGTGAGAAAATCAAGGTTTTTCTTCATGAAGTCGAGGTAACACAGCATGACTAACTGATACACAAACAGCCATTTTGTTCGTTTAGGTTCACTGCAAGTGTCAGTGAATCATTGAGAAATTAGAGCACACACACACACACACACACACACACACACATACACTACTGGCGCCCCCTATGAGTGAATCAGAGTATGGCAGATGCTTGGATTTTGTGTGAGACTTGATACACATTAAAAACACTGCTGTGTGTTGACATGATTATTTCACTGTGTATTTCCGGTGTGTCTAAGAACCTGACAATTATGTATTGAAATGTATTCAGAATGTTAAGATCTAAACTAAATCTCTCAGCTAAGGTAAAGGGTTGCTAAATTTTATTTTTTATTTATATTATTTCTATGAAAGCAAATCTTAAAGCTCCATACCATAATGTTATTCTCCCGCTCTGCACTTGCTCTGGTGGTTTTAAAGGAATAACGGAGCCGAGGCAATTCATCAGTAGACCACAAGCTATTCGGGGGTGTGACTACAGTCACCGGGGTCTATATATTGAGATGTTTTGGCCGGTGGCTTTATGTGAATGAGAGAGAAGCTGTCCAGTGAAAAGTCACCACAGCAGGACAGTGCGCGCGCTTCCTCACTTTGACACCCTATGCTCTCAGACGCCACAATGGATTCCTGTTTTCGCGCACTTTGCATGACTTTTGTTCTGGCATCGTTCACCCGGAGGTCAGGTGCGGTCGGACCGGTTATCAGATGCGAGCCATGTGATGTTGGAGCGCGGCTTTTGTGCAAACCTTTACCCAAGGACTGCGCCGAGAAGGTCCGCGAACCGGGCTGCGGCTGCTGCATGACTTGCGCGCTGAGCTTCGGCCAGCCGTGCGGCGTGTACACCGGGAGATGTGGCTCCGGGCTCACTTGTCAGCATCAGCCCGGTGAGACGAAACCTCTGCAGGCTCTGCTGGAGGGACGGGGGGTCTGTGCAAACGCTACAAATAGGCGACTTACAGCCAGACCGACACCTCCAGTCAATGAACTGCCAGGTAAATTTTGTGCGTGCACCTTCTTTTCATATGCGCACTTTGGATACTTTATATTTGTTTATTAACATTTAAGAACGCCATAAAACGTTGCATATGCTTAGTAATGTGTACTAACTGTGCAGACTTACATTTGTTACCCTCACTGAATCAACAAACTTCTAATCACAAAGGAAGATTTGCTGAGAAGACGCAGTTTTCACCTCTTAATTCCATATATAATAAGAGAAGAGATCCACTTCAAAGTCACAATCCTTTACTGATTTCACCCTAAATAATCATGCAAAGAGGAGGTGGAGGAAGAGACAGGTGGAAGAAATATTTTTAAGCCTTATTAAGACTTAAATGGTGCAAAAAAGAGGTGCAACTCAATATCAGGAAGGTGATCCCTGATGTTGACTTTCAGGTTGATAGAATAACTATTTAGCTTGCACTCTTACTACATGGATTCAGAGTTTAAGTTAAAAAATGTTGAATCAAGTGGAGGCAGTCATTTTGCATATTTCTGTTCATTTCCTGCCAAAATGCAAAGATATAAATCATCTCAGGGAATGCTTCTGAACACTGGATCCCTCATGACCCTCAGCGTGACCTCCAGCTTGCTGAGAACTATCAATACGTCTCAATCAGGATTAAATCCCTCCCTTTATGTATTTGTTTTCTTAATAAATACATGTTATTGTCAAACTCTAGCAGAGAATGTACAGACTCAGGACGAGGAGAGGAATTCCACCGGCTCAGGCTTTCAGACCTTGTACAGCACCCACAGACCCATGGGACCCCCGAGACCTCCGCTTCACCCCTACTTCCCCTCTGCCAAGTCAGAGGTCCTCAGACGGGAGCAGCAGAAGCGAACCCAGAGCTTTAAAATGGAGGAGCTCCCGGGACCACTCATCACAGACCAACAAAACTTCTCTCTAGAGACCAAACAGGAGCCTGAGTATGTAAGTACCACAACCATTTTTTTCTCTGTCTTCAGAGCATACTGGAGGAATGTTTTTCTCCTCTTCCTCTGTGTTTTGGTGTTTTTCTCCCCCTGCGGGTGATGAAATGTTTTGGGTAGCGGCGCTGATGGTTGGCAGGCATCGTGCGCAGTAGAATGGCATGGCAGCGAGCGGGTACGATGGCCCTGCGGCTGACCTGGGTCAGGCAGTTGTTTGGCCACAAGGCGTCCGCGTGCCGGGTGTACTGGGAGCCAGCGAATGATGGATTGGCCTATGCGAGTGCCTGTTGGGAAGCCCTGCTGCTATTTTGATCTTCTCTTTGGCCAGAGAAGTGAGCACACACTAGTAATGGGCTTTGACTGGCTGCTTTGATTAGTGACTGGAGTACTTGGACTTGAGGACAAGCCTTTTGGCTCCCTCTTTGAGCTCTTTGAATTCACTTTATCCCCCCATCCTTTGTGTAAAGTGTAAGAGTTCTAAGCAGCTTTGGCTGTTAAGCTGCTACAAGTCGGTCAGATGAATTAATTTCACATCCGTCACCTCTTTCATATCGCAGCCACCATTGTTTAGGCATTACGGCAGGGTGGTGTGTGTGATGCAGCGTGAGTCAGCTTTGTTAACGTCTTTATTTGAAAAACAGAATTCGTATCAAAATCACACTGCAAAATGAAATGTTAGCCTGTGCTAATGGCCTCGTCTGCACTCCTAAAGTTGGAGCTGGAGATGTTTAAAAGAACAGTGTGTAAGATTAAGGGGGATTTAGTGGCATCTAGTGGAGAGGACTGCAGATTGCAACCAGCTGAAACATCCCCAGTTAGAATTCCCTCGGTTCCCATTGTTCAGGATGTTTTTATTGGGAGCCAAATTATCCGCAGAGGTCTCTTCCTTCCAAAAACAAACAGAGCAGTTGATTAAGCTGCTAAAAACACTGAATAAAGCAGTCTCATGTTACAAATCAGTGTTTTTACAATGCTGTTCAGCTCATCGCAGATGGATTGCCAGCCTAGCACCTGTTAATGTGTGCTCATGTTTTTTCTGATCCAGATGTTCAGGTAGCTTTAACTTTGAGCCAAATTATCCACAGAGGTCTCCTCTCCAAAAACAAACCAGTAAAAGACTGAATAAAGCAATTTCATGTTAGATGTCAGTGTTTCCGACTGTTTAGCACGTCAGAGATGGGCTGCTAGCCTAACACCTGCTGATGTGTGCTCACCTTTTTCCTTTGATGATTGAAGATCCAGACATCCAGGAGGTTTTTACGGGGAGTCGAATTATCCCCAGATTATCCTCTTCTCAAAACAAACGGTCCCGATGATTAAAACCAGTAAAACACAAGATAAAGCAGTTTTATCTTTAAAATAACCCGAAAACTCAAATGGAGATCTAGATCTAGAGCCAATGTTTGGTTTTTCCATTCTGGGCTACTATAGAAGCAGACAAGGACCTGCGCCGCATGTAGATGTAAACAGCTCTTTTTAAGATATAACAAAAACACAACAATTCTTATTTCAGGTGATTTCCCACTAAAGAAAACATATTATTATATTTTATTCCATTTCTGCCAGTATATCCCCGTAAATCCTGCACACTGGACCTTTAAGTGTTTGAGAACATACAGTAACTGCTCATGTGTTCCCTCATCTGTAGGGACCCTGTCGGAGAGAGATTGAGAGCATTCTCAGCAGCCTCAAGATTACAGACATTCTCAACCCCAGAGGTTTCCGCATACCAAACTGTGACAAGAAGGGCTTCTATAAGAAAAAGCAGGTAAAAAAAATGCACATTCAACGGAGCATCGTTTGACATTGACTGCATGCTAAAATAAGGATTCATGCATCAGGTTCATGAGACGCTGCATGTTATTTAAAGATCTACTTGATAAAAACTTTCACTTTGTTTACAAATTTGAAAGGCTCTAAAAAGGAAACCCACATTTCCTTTTTTTTACATGCTACATTAATAAAGATTCAATGCTTAAGTCTTGTGACTCAAACTTTAGGTCTCCTGCAGCCCAATTACAGATTTGTAGCTGTCCTCCTGTATTCATTGGTAGTCATTAGAGCCTCATCATTGCACCACCACACCAGTGAGGTAGACCCTAGCCACTGGCTCTGGAGACAGGAACCACAGGGGCCAAACCCCAGTGGGGTTGACGGCTGGGACGATGGCCGTTTAACGGGAACCCTCCCAGGGAGACAGACGTCAAGGTGGCCACCGGCACCCGATGCGCTCCCCCCATAATTGCTGGACTTTTGAGAAGCGTGCACAGAAATAGAGCTGCAGCCATCCCCACGCTCACATGGTTCACCCACGATCGGGTTGTAATAAATGAGTGGTTCTGACGCATTCATATGGAGGCACTTAGGGCTCCCGCGCCACTGCATCACTGAGGCAGCTTTTCTTATAACATAGCAGTCCCTCCTGCTTAATGGAAGCGTTCTACTTGACCTGCAATCATCTCATAACCAGCCTCACAACGCCAGGCTCATTGTCTTTGTTTATGTAGAACTGAGCTAGTGTGCCGCGTAGCCTGAGGTGCCGAAAGATCGGCAGATATTTTATGTTGGTCCATTTAATTTGGACGTTTGCATAATTTTAACCAAAAACATCTCTTATTACAACTCTTAATAACAGTTGATGTCTTTTCTAGAGAAAAAATACCCAGGACAGATTTAATGCTGGAAGCAGATACACTTTACTTCAGTAAACTGCATAAAACCATGCCTCAGTTTTTTTGTCTTGCAGCTGAAAATTAGAATTCCTTACATATTGCTTTGCTCCCCCAAAAATGCAGGGAAGATAAGAGCTTCTCCTCTTATGCAACAGTGATCTGATAACAAGCGAGTCCTACTTCAGCTCAAAACAGCCTCTCAGTCAAATCCCACTGAAATATCGAACTAAATAAGGATGTCCTCCTTCCTGATCGGCTCTGTGGAGCAGCAGCACAGTTGCTTTAGCCCTTGAAATGAATGGCTGCATGTTTTACTAGAGTGGAGGTTGACCTTTAGTAAAATTGGCAGTAAAATAACAGCCCTTGGGTAGCTCCACAGACTCTGTAAGTCATTTGTAGTACCCATAATTTGGAGCTGTGGGGTATAATCAGCAACAGATGATTCGTACTGGCCACCAGCTTCTGAAAATAGATCTTGGTTCTCAGTTGTTCACAAACGGGACTAAGCAAATATTTTACCAGGTTTCTGTTTACCTTAAAGGTCTCTATATGTGTGTGTAACAGGAGGTAGACCATAAAAGCAGCTCAAAATACCACAGCGCGCTGGATAACCAAGGCTGCGTCGACTCAGCACAATCTGACCATTAATGCCTCTTAACTATTGCTGTTCTACTTCATTGAGTAAAGTGGCTTGTTACTCATAATGCTGCATATTCAACTGGATTTACACATTTAGCTGCACACCCTCCCCCCTTATTTCTCTCCCCTCCCTTCACCTTGTCCCTTGCTTCACTTTCAGTGCCGTCCATCCAAAGGCAGAAAGCGAGGCTTCTGTTGGTGTGTGGACAAATACGGGCAGCCCTTGCCAGGTTTTGATGGGAAGGAGCGAGGAGACGCCCAGTACTACAACTCTGAGAGCCAATAGGAGCAGAGCGGGATGGAGGGAGGGAGGGTGGGAGTGAGAGCAAGAAGAATTGTAAACAAATGGAGACACTGAGGATATTGGGAGAGAGGTCAAGAGATGGCTCAGCCGATAAATGGATGTTTGCTATTTCTATCTGTTGCCTGTGGGACCTTTTTTCTGAGGCAGAGCAAGGGGAACAGAGGAAGAGTACCAGGAGGGGGAAGAAAAAGCCTCTGTGTCACAGATACTGTACTTTTATGCGATGGATGGATTCTTCATAAGCTTTTTGTCTCTGACCCAACCAGGACAACTTCTGAGAAGAGGATACACTTTAAAGAATTTGTCTCAGAAGCCTTATTCTGATTCTAAAACACAGAGACGCTCGTCACAAACATTGATGAGAGTGCTCTTCATTTACGCACAATTAAGTGGCATTGCACACGTGTACATGCTAGTGATGTGTAATCATGATTTGTATGCTTGTGATTTGTTATAAAGACAATGTGTGTGGTGGTCACCGCAACCACAAAATGTATGTATGTATGAATATGTCCGTAGGAGTAAGCATGCAGTGCCTTACTATTCCTATTCCTATGAATTCCATTCTTCCGGTTGCTTCCTGCTTCTCAGGGAGTTGGACTGGACTGTGCAGCTCAAACACCACAGTGCATATAAAGTTTTTTTAATGCTGGATCTGAAGCAACAAGAGTAATCTGTACTGTGGTTGTTACTGTTTTTTTGTCACTTTGCATAAGCTGAATTTTTGGGATAAAGGCCACAAACCGTTATCTCTGATCTCTGTGTTGCCAGTGATCATTGTCATCACTTGCCTTGGTTTAAGTAAATACGCTGTTTGCATGTACAATGCATCCCTCAGAGGTCTATTTTTACTTAATAAAGGCAGTATAAAATTATCCAGGTTTTGCATTTTTTTTGCTTTGAGTGTGTATGAAACATAGACTGTATAGAACCTTTTAGGGCGGACGTCACAGTGACGCCATTTTGTTAGCTGGAGGCGAAACACAACTCGCCACCACAGGGCTGTAGGCTACATAGGAGTCTTTAAGTGTTGTTGTGTTTTTGGGCCCCAGAATAGAAGGAGTCATGGTTCAAAACTTAAATCTAATCACGTACAAAAACAAAAAACAAACTACTGTTAAATGTGATAAGACAAAAGGACTGGACGGAGGCGATCATCAAAAATGCTTGCATGTCATATCAGGTTAAGGAAAAAGTATTTACTGTTGTAGGGATGAATACCGTTATTATCCTGTGCACCTATTTAGAAATTAGGGAGGTATTAAGAGGAATATTGGATTTCTCCTTAACGCTAACCTTTTAGAGCATCAGCTCACGTTAGCTTCGATAGCAAAACAAACAGTCCAGGTGTCATCATCCTTTGTAACTCTTGGAATGAGTATTTCTGAATGCAGCATTGGCATCATCTTCCTCCATTGTCTAAAACAAGCCAACAGATCTTGCGAGCTAGGGCTAGCTAATATTAAGCCCCGCCCACCAAAAAAGTCATACTGTTTACTTACAGTAAAAGGGTCTATAAAATAATGGATGTAGGTGGTGTGATGTCACCCATTGGTTTGTGGACTCCCATTTTTGAGCCTCAAGTTTGGCGTTTCGGGCATTGCCATCTTGGTTTTCTGGAGCCAGAAGTGACTGTATGTATAGAGTTCACTCGGACTGTAGCGATGCCTTGCAGACAGCCTGTCACTCAAGCAGCCGGCCCTGAAATAAGCTTAATTTAAAGCCATACATGTCCATTGGATTGTAAAAACTGAAAATAAGAATTGTGTTTTTGTTACCTCCGAACGAGCCTTTTATAGGAAGCAGGTCCTCATCTGCAGAGATTGCCATGTTGCACCGCAATGTTTCTACAGTAGCCCAGGATGGACAATCCAAACATGGGCTCTTGATAGGGCCATTCACATTTTCATGTCGGCCATTTTACTTTGCAGCCCCTCTGCCCCTCCGACTTTTTTTTATTGTTTTAGACAACAAACCTATGCTATTACTTTTTTTTTCGTAATTTTGGACAACATACTATACTATAACTTTTTTTCATGGTTTTTGACGACATGCTATACTATGACTTTTTGTTATTTTGGTCGACATACTATACTATGACTTTTTTTCATGGTTTTGGTCGACATACTATACTATGACTTTTTTTCATGGTTTTGGTCGACATACTATACTATGACTTTTTTTCATGGTTTTCGATAACATGCTATACTATGACTTTTTTTCATGGTTTTCGATAACATGCTATACTATGACTTTTTTCCCATGATTTTGGACGACATACTGTACGATGACTTTTTTCCCATGATTTTGGACGACATTCTATACTATGACTTTTTTTTCATGAATTTTGGCAAAGTTTTTTTTTTTATTTTGGACGACATACTATACTGTAACTTTTTTCATGGTTTTTGACGACATACTATACTATGACTTTTTTTGGTTTAGGACAACATGCTATACTATGACTTTTTTTTATGGATTTTGACGACATACTATACTATGACTTTTTTTCATGGTTTTGGACGACATACTATACTATGACATTTGTTCATGGTTTTGACAACATACTATACAATGACTGTTTTCAGGATTTTGGACGACATACTATACTATGACTTTTTTATTATTTTGGACAACATAGTATACTAAGCCTTTTTTTCATGGTTTTGGACAATGTACTACATATAGCTGTAAGTTTATTGTTGTGTGATTTTTACTTTAGCTTTTAGTTGTGTTACATGTTAAGAGAGGTGCTTGTCTTTGCCATTTTTAGATAATTATGCAGTGTCAATGGATGACATCTGGGAAGAAAAGGAACATCATAAGACCACCTGAGGAAACATCTTCTCTCATCTCTTCTGTCACCAGCTGCTGTGTTTCATGTTGAATATTGAAAACACACAAAATATTTCTTCACAGTATGGACTGGAATAATCTTCTGTGCTCTTCTGTCAATGTATTTGTCACATGTTATTATATAAGGTACAATTCCAGTGAAATGTAATGTTAATTCGGTTCCTCTAGTTTGTGCATCATAAAAAGAGTGCAATAATAAATATATGTGTATGATTAGGGGGCCTGTGTCCGTACCGTGGATCCCCGTCAGCATGGTGTTGATGGTGTAAGACTAGAAATTCCTCAGTATTGGAGGGGATATCTGGATATCGCTGGAGTTTCTTCAAGCGTCTGAGGTGGAACAGTATGCAACACCCAGGACCAGAAGCTATCCACTCTCTACACTGAGGACCTGTTGACATTAAGGTCCCTGCTTCTTCCCAAAGTCAACCATCAGCACCTGACTTGGCAATAAAATATATTTTTTTATGTGTCTTTTTATTGTTTATGTGCTAATGTTGTCCAAACCAGATTACTGGTGAAGGTAAACTTTTTTCTGGATGAGACTGATCACAGGACGTGTAGCAGAAATGTAGCTCAGTGTGATGAACAGATCTTTGTAATTCCTTAACTTGCACATTCAAATCCAAACACTGAACTCTGAAAGAGTCCATTTGTACATATTTGTAAGAAAATGGATGAAGGACTTGTTTTTGGGCAGATGTCGCTAGAAAGAAAATAACAAACTGCCTTGTAGTCTTGAGTGTTCAGTCTAACAGCCTAATGTGTTTTAAGCTACAACACTCAGAGGAAAGACAGAATAGTTCTCTAGTTCAATAGCTCACAGTGTCTGAGGACTGATTACAGATTCTGATGTTGTGTGTTCAATACTAGTTGATGCTCAGTGAATTTTGAATGCCTTTGTGCAAATGAAGTGTGTGATTTTTCTTGTATATTTCCATGCAAAGTGTGGACTGCCATGAAATTTATTACTGGTATTGGTGTCCCCCTCAGGACAAGTCAAGATTGAAAACATCCTTATATGATGATGCTGATAGGTTGATACAGTTTAAGCCTATGTCTTGAAATCAGAGAGCCTTCGCAACAGCTTTCTCCAATTAATTCCTTCTATTGGGACACCTTAACAGCTGACTTTTGAATGCCTTTGTCCAAAAGAGAGACTGAAAATCTTCAACGAACAGAACTCATGTGTCTCCAGTTTGTTAGCTCAGCAGGGTCAAAGACTGGTTTGAAGGTTAAAGGATCAGGGTTCAATTCTTCGGTGAACAGTCAGTATGTTTTGCAAGCTGATGTCTGATGGAGAAAGTTAAGGTCTAAGGAACACAGACAAAGTGTTAAAAAAGTTAGAGGACCAATTGGAAGTCCTTAGACTGAATGTTCGATCCTAGTCCGTGGCAGGTGAATTTTAAAGGCTGCTGTCCAGAGGAGAAAGGGAAAGCTTCCGTGAAACACAGCAGAAGTGTGAGGCAGATTAGCTCAGGCTGTTGAAGAGCTGCTTGGGAGTTCAGAGGTATGATCCTTATCCAGGGCAGGTGAATTTTAAAGTCCAATGCTCAAATAAAGGGGTAAATGTGCTCGGAGAAACACTCATATATGTAGATAGCATAGCTCAGGGGTAAGGCTGCTGACCTTAGTGCAGGAGACTGGGGTTCACATCTAATGCTTCCTCAGGAATATGTTATGACAAAGGGAAGCCAGGATGCCAGGCCAAAGTGGGGATGTCATCATCATACATGAATGTTACTGTTAGACTTTTTATCTGAAAAGTGTTCTGTGCATTAGTCGTGTATATGATGTGGGGATGATGATGCCGTCTTGTTTTTTTCATGGTTTTGGACAACATATTGAACAATCATTTTTTTCATGGTTTTGGACGACATACTAAACTATGACTTTGTTTAATGGATTTAGATGACATACTATACTATGACTTTTTTTATGGTTTTGAACATCATGCAATACTATGACTTTTTTTTATGATTTTGGTCGACATAGTGTGACTTTTTGTCAAGGTTTTGGACGACATACTATGCTATGACTTTTTTTCATGGTTTTGGTCGACATACTATACTAGGGCGGCACGGTGGTGTGGTGGTTAGCACTGTCGCCTCACAGCAAGAGGGTTGCCGGTTC